GGAGAGGGGAAGAGGTACCACGTCACTGCACAACATTTGGGCTCAAAAGAAAACCTCATTGTACTAAAAGCTCCATACTTAACGAGGTTTAAAATGGCCTGATACAGTTAGAACACATTTGCTCTCACTCTCTCTCTCTCTCTCTCTCTCTCTCTCTCTCTCTCTCTCTCTCTCTCTCTCTCTCTCACTCTCTCTCTCTCTCTCTCAGGCTAGAAAGTCAAAGTGCGATATGTTATCATCTTTAAAGTTGAAGCAGATGGCACAGTGTGTGCTTGGGAGCCCTGAGCACTTTGTTTGAGGGGTGAGGGAGGTGGGGGGGTAGGGTGGGGGGAGGGAGGTGGGGTAGAGAGGGAGGTTATCTCGGTTATCTTGAGATGATTTCGGGGCTTTTTAGTGTCCCCGCGGCCCGGTCCTCGACCAGGCCTCCACCCCCAGGAAGCAGCCCGTGACAGCTGACTAACACCCAGGTACCTATTTTACTGCTAGGTAACAGGGGCATAGGGTGAAAGAAACTCTGCCCAATGTTTCTCGCCGGCGCCTGGGATCGAACCCAGGACCACAGGATCACAAGTCCAGCGTGCTGTCCACTCGGCCGACCGGCTCCCTCATGAGGGATGAGGGAGGTGGGGTAGGGAATTGTACCCAACACTGATACAATCCCCCAACACTGGCACAATTCCCCCAACACTGGCACAATTCCCCCAACACTGGCACAATTCCCCAACACTGGTACAATCCCCCAACACTGGTACAATTCCCCAACACTGGTACAATTCCCCAACACTGGTACAATTCTCCAACACTGGCACAATCCCCCAACACTGGCACAATTCCCCCAACACTGGCACAATTCCCCCAACACTGGCACAATTCCCCAACACTGGTACAATCCCCCAACACTGGTACAATTCCCCAACACTGGTACAATTCCCCAACACTGGTACAATTCTCCAACACTGGCACAATCCCCCAACACTGGCACAATTCCCCCAACACTGGTACAATCCCCCAACACTGGTACAATTCCCCCAACACTGGTACAATCCCCCAACACTGGTACAATCCCCCAACACTGGTACAATCCCCCAACACTGGCACAATTCCCCCAACACTGGTACAATCCCCCAACACTGGTACAATTCCCCCAACACTGGTACAATTCCCCCAACATTGGCACAATCCCCCAACACCGGTATATAGAACCATGTTTTATGAACGTAACCCATATGAACGAAGAACAAAAGGCGTTCACCAATTGTTTTCTTTTTGGAGGGGGAGAAGTATGAACAATGTGAACAAAACCTTCTGGGACACATTCTTCAACATTATTAGTGAATGTTCAATAATCAATCACTTCAAGAGGGGAGGTTGAAGGAACGGTTACACCCGGAGTATGGGAAGTAGTCCCTTCACCCCCGTCAACCCATCACCCCCCGTCAACCCTTCACCCCCCCGTCAACCCATCACCCCCCGTCAACCCTTCACCCCCCGTCAACCCTTCACCCCCGTCAACCCTTCACCCCCCGTCAACCCTTCACCCCCGTCAACCCTTCACCCCCCGTCAACCTTCACCTCCGTCAACCCATCACCCCCGTCAACCCATCACCCCCGTCAACCCATCACCCCGTCAACCCATCACCCCCGTCAACCCTTCACCCCCGTCAACCCTTCACCTCCGTCAACCCTTCACACCCCCGTCAACCCTTCACCCCCGTCAACCCTTCACCTCCGTCAACCTTTCACCCCCCGTCAACGCTTCACCCCGTCAACCCTTCACCCCCCGTCAACCCTTCACCTCCGTCAACCCATCACTCCCGTCAACCCATCACCCGTCAACCCATCACTCCCGTCAACCCATCACTCCCGTCAACCCTTCACACCCCCGTCAACCCTTCACACCCCCGTCAACCCTTCACCCCCGTCAACCCTTCACCCCCCGTCAACCCATCACCCCGTCAACCCATCACCCCCGTCAACCCATCACCCCGTCAACCCATCACCCCGTCAACCCTTCACACCCCCGTCAACCCATCACCCCGTCAACCCATCACTCCCGTCAACCCCTTCACCCCCCGTCAACCCTTCACCCCCCGTCAACCATTCACCCCCCGTCAACCCTTCACCCCCGTCAACCCATCACCCCGTCAACCCTTCACACCCCGTCAACCCATCACCCCGTCAACCCTTCACACTCCCGTCAACCCTTCACACCCCGTCAACCCTTCACACCGTCAACCCATCACTCCCGTCAACCCCTTCACCCCCCCGTCAACCCTTCACCCCCGTCAACCATTCACCCCCCGTCAACCCTTCACCCCCGTCAACCCATCACCCCGTCAACCCTTCACACCCCCGTCAACCCATCACCCCGTCAACCCTTCACACTCCCGTCAACCCTTCACACCCCCGTCAACCCTTCACACCCCCGTCAACCCTTCACCCCCCCGTCAACCCTTCACCACGTCTACGCTAACTCCCCCTCCCCCTCTCCCCCAGGGCACACGGAGGTGGTGTCCCACTTGGTGAACAAGTGCAACAGAAGCGTAGACCTGGACGCCAGGAACACCCTGGGCTTCACGCCCCTGATGAAGGCGGCCCTGCAGGGACGAACCAAGATCGCCAAGATTCTTCTCTTCGCTGGTAAGACTTCCTCGGAGGGGGGAGTGGGGAGGGGGTGAGGGAGTGGGGAGGGGGTGAGGGAAGGGAGGAGGGGGTGAGGGAGTGGGGAGGGGGGGAGGGAAGGGGGAGGGGGATGAGGGAAGGGGGTGAGGGAAGGGGGGAGGGGGGAAGGGAAGGGGGAGGGGGGTGAGGGAAGGGGGTGAGGGAAGGGGGTGGGGGAAGGAGGAGTTGGTGAAGGAAGGGGGGAGATGGTGAGGGAAGGGGGAGGGGGTGAGGGAAGGGGGAGGGGGATGAGGGAAGGGGGTGGGGGAAGGGTGAGGGAAGGGGGTGAGGGAAGGGGGTGGGGGAAGGGGGAGTTGGTGAAGGAAGGGGGGAGGGGGTGAGGGAAGGGGGAGGGGGTGTGAGGGAAGGGGGAGGGGGTGAGGGAAGGGGGAGGGGGATGAGGGAAGGGGGGAGGGGGTGAGGGAAGGGGGTGAGGGAAGGGGGTGGGGGAAGGGGGAGTTGGTGAAGGAAGGGGGGAGGGGGTGAGGGAAGGGGGAGGGGGTGAGGGAAGGGGGAGGGGGTGAGGGAAGGGGGAGGGGGATGAGGGAAGGGGGGAGGGGGTGAGGGAAGGGGGGAGGGGGTGAGGGAAGGGGGTGAGGGAAGGGGAAGGGGGGAGGGGGGTGAGGGAAGGGGGGAGGGGTGAGGGAAGGGGAGAGGGATGAGGGAAGGGGGAGGGGGTGAGGGAAGGGGAAGGTGGTGAGGGAAGGGGGAGGGGTGAGGGAAGGGGGAGGGGGTGAGGGAAGGGGGGAGGTGGTGAGGGAAGGGGGAGGGGTGAGGGAAGGGGGAGGGGTGAGGGAAGGGGGAGGGGTGAGGGAAGGGGGAGGGGGTGAGGGAAGGGGGAGGGGGTGAGGGAAGAGGGAGGGGGTGAGGGAAGGGGAAGATAGTGAGGGAAGGGGGAGGTGGTGAGGGAAGGGGGAAGGGGTGAGGGAAGGGGGGAGGTGGTGAGGGAAAGGGGAGGGGGTGAGGGAAGGGGGAGGGGTGAGGGAAGAGGGAGATAGTGAGGGAAGGGGGAGGTAGTGAGGGAAGGGGGAGGTTGTGAGGGAAGGGGGAGGTAGTGAGGGAAGGGGGAGGTGGTGAGGGAAGGGGGAGGTGGTGAGGGAAGGGGGGAGGTGGTGAGGGAAGGGGGGAGGGGGATGAGGGAACTGAAAGGGGGTGAGGGAAGGGGGAGGGGGGTGAGGGAAGGGGGAGGTTGGTGAGGGAAGGGGGAGGGGGTAAGGGAAGGGGGAGGGGGTGAGGGAAGGGGGAGGGGGTGAGGGAAGGGGAAGATAGTGAGGGAAGGGGGAGGTGGTGAGGGAAGGGGGAGGGGTGAGGGAAGGGGGGAGGTGGTGAGGGAAGGGGGGAGGTGGTGAGGGAAGGGGGGAGGTGGTGAGGGAAGGAGGAGGGGGTGAGGGAAGGGGGTGGTTGGTGAGGGAAGGGGGTGGTTGGTGAGGGAAGGGGGAGGTGGTGAAGGAAGGGGGAGGTTGGTGAGGGAAGGGGAGGGGTGAGGGAAGGGGGAGGGGATGAGGGAAGGGGGAGGTGGTGAGGGAAGGGGGAGGTTGGTGAGGAAAGGGGGAGGGGTGAGGGAAGGGGGAGGGGGTGAGGGAAGGGGATGAGGAAAGGGGGGGATGAGGGAAGGGGGGGTGAGGGAAGGGGGGTGAGGGAAGGGGGAGGGGGGTGAGGGAAGGGGGAGGAGGTGAGGGAAGGGGGTGAGGGAAGGGGGGAGGGGGTGAGGGAAGGGGGAGGGGGTGTGAGGGAAGGGGGTGGTTGGTGAGAGAAGGGGGAGGTGGTGAGGTAAGGGGAAGATAATGAGGGAAGGGGGAGGGGGTGAGGGAAGGGGGAGGGGTGAGGGAAGGGGAAGATAGTGAGGGGAAGGCACTGTTTCTGGTGCTTAAATAAGGGAGAAAAATATTAATTGTGTTTTTACAATGGAGGTGTTTGTGGATATAATGAGATTAGCTAATTATTTTTATGCTTTACATTAGTTTACAGTGGGTAATGTAGAGTGCTTCTGAGACTCACTTGTGTAAACCTTATGGTAATGAGGATGGTTAGTAAGCTTGCATGTGTATGTATACATGCTCTTATGGATTGAGCATGTATACATACTCTCATTGACTGGGCATGTATTATGTCTTTGTACAAGGAACTTGAAGTCTCCTCCTGGACTTATAGACTTGGACCCTCAATGACTTTAACTCATTGATGAATTCGATACTCTTGAGCTCCTTGTACGAGGCCCTTGACCTCCTTGTACGAGGCCCTTGACCTCCTTGTACGAGGCCCTTGACCTCCTTGTACGAGGCCCTTGACCTCCTTGTACGAGGCCCTTGACCTCCTTGTACGAGGCCCTTGACCTCCTTGTACGAGGCCCTTGACCTCCTTGTACGAGGCCCTTGACCTCCTTGTACGAGGCCCTTGACCTCCTTGTACGAGGCCCTTGACCTCCTTGTACGAGGCCCTTGACCTCCTTGTACGAGGCCCTTGACCTCCTTGTACGAGGCCCTTGACCTCCTTGTACGAGGCCCTTGACCTCCTTGTACGAGGCCCTTGACCTCCTTGTACGAGGCCCTTGACCTCCTTGTACGAGGCCCTTGACCTCCTTGTACGAGGCCCTTGACCTCCTTTCACGAGGCCCTTGACCTTTCATCTTGTAACCTTCAACCTTCCCCTCCCCCCCCTCACCCTTACAGGAGCTTCACCTCACCTACGGGACTTTGGACGTGGGCTGTGTGCAGTGGAGTGGGCGCGTTACACAGGCCGCCACGTGTGTTCTGAGCTCATCGAGAGCGTCCAAAAGTCCTGCTCAAGCCATATCCGGGACCGCTGGACCAGTGACCCCGATCTCAAGTCCCACTCCAGCACCTCTCTCAACACACTCGGCCAGGGAGACAACAGGGAGTCCTGGATCAAGCACAAGGTGGGTGTAGGTGGTGGTGTAGGTGGCAGGAGCAGTGGCGAGAGTGCAGGTGGCAGGTGTGTAGAGGTGGGGGCCCGGTTACACATGTGGTGGAGTGACTGAATACTCACCTAAGAACACTTCCCTCCTAGGTGTACTTGCAAGGATGTACTTCAGCTCATACGCCTCGCCTTTCTACCTATCGGTCGGGTTAATACAATGGCTTTCTTCCTGTATCAATCCTATCGCATTTGCCTTGAAGGCCGAGTATAGAGGTCCCCCCTCGACGCTAGCGCCCCCTTTTAACGCTAACCATTTGTTTACAAGTCTGTTGTAACATCATTCTTGGTGTTGTCCGTCTCCCTTACACTCTGAGTCTCCTGGGGCCAGATTCACGAAAGCACTTACGAACGTGTACATCTTTCCTCAATCTTTGACGGCTTTGGTTACATTTATTAAACAGTTTACAAGCATGAAAACTTCCCATTCAACTGTTGTTAGTGTTATAAACAGCCTCCTGGTGCTTCCGAGCTCATTAACTGTTTAATAATTGTAAACAAAGCCGTAAAAGATTGAGAAAAGATGTACACGTTCGTAAGTGCTTTCGTGAATCTGGCCCCTGGCCGCCAGCGAGGTCCTCTCGTTGGAGAGGTTCTGGAGCACTATTGTCATGTTGAACCTAAATTCTTTGTCCACTGTGTCGATTCCTCTTGGTTTCCTTTTGGATTCCCCTTGTACCCTTTTTGATTCTCATTAGATTCCCTTTAGGAATCTTAAGATTCTTAAATATCGATTCCTTAGATTCTAAAGCCTTAGATTCTTAAATATCGCTCCCATGCCCTTCATACCCGGAATTTCTCCGAATGTAGTGAGCTCCGGTTCTCAGAGAACATCACGCTAGTTCACCTGTTCACCCGAGAACGGCCCGAGTTCAGTGTGACAGTACAGAACCCCGTCGTGTGGAGTCGGCGACAATCTGTGATAACATTAGACTTCCATTAACGTCTAATTAATGAAAAAACTAATGTTTACAGCCTCTTTAGACTAACGATTCCAGTCCGCATATATTATTATCCTCTCCTATTGACCCGTGAACCATGCCTACAAATTATGCTGACTCCACAACAATGTTCTAGCGGCAGTCAGACTCATCCCTGCAGGAAGTACTGGACCAACCAGACTGTAATGGATGTGTGGGCCGTCGGGCCGCTCCAAGCAACAGCCTGCAACGTCATCGGAAGACAAGCCTGGTCCCCAGGTCAGGCCTAAGGAGCTGAAGCCATTATCCAAAGAAGACGCCAGGCTGAGGAGACTATGTAGCTTGGAGGTGCAGAAAAGACTCTAGATAAACCCAAATAAGAGTCCATCTTCCAGGTTGATTCTCAAGGCGAAAACCAGTGATGGTCAAAACAGTAGCGGTCACCGAGTACAAGATTCATTTCGGTCTGAAGCTGGCATTAAAGGGGGTGTAATGTTTCTTGCTTTAACCTGTGCAGTTCTCAGGCACTTGTGTGTTCTCTGCGGCTTACTGCTCAGTAGTCCGACTCAAGGGCGGAGTAACAGTCAGGCAACACCCAGTGCCTACTCTCGAATCGTCATGAGTCTCCCGACCGCAGCCATGACAAACATTGAGGAATACAAGGTGCAGCTGCTCTAATGAAGAGCTTCTTTACTGGCTACATTTTTACCCCTCTACAACCTTGTTGTATATTGTATTACTCACCATATGTCTTCTCTTGGCTGATGTCTCACTACTCTGAAAGTGTTCATGAGCTGATGAGGATGTATCCTCATGATGAGGATGTATCCTCATGATGAGGATGTATCCTCATGATGAGGATGTATCCTCATGATGAGGATGTATCCTCATGATGAGGATGTATCCTCATGATGAGGATGTATCCTCATGATGAGGATGTATCCTCATGATGAGGATGTATCCTCATGATGAGGATGTATCCTCATCATGAGGATGTATATACAAACAGGTACAAGTCTGACGCCCTTCACAGCAGGTCATACAGATGGCTATTAACCAAGTGCAAAAAATCAATAGTTTCAGGTGACCAAAGAACGATTAAATGTTACGCATCCATGAAGGACTTCGCCTCCTGGAATCGAGAAGCGAGCGATGTTAAGAAGCAGACACAGACACACACATCGGAACAGGAGCAGACACCTGCAGCCCTTTCATCAAAGGCCAACACCGAAAGAATAACATCAGCAGCATGCACTAGGTTAACAAGGATCTAGAATAGCCATTAAGGGCTTAGATGTCCTCCAAAGCCTTGTACACAAGAGACTAGAAATTGGATAATTAGCACGACGAGCCCAGCAAAAATATGCACAGAAGGAAACTAGAAAAGGTGCAGAGGTCTGTAGCGTGTTCGGTCAACGGACCGAAATCATTAAACGACCAGAAAGGACTGGCGGAACTCAACCTTACAACGCTGGAACATGAGAGAGCAACCCGTCCTCTTAAAAACAACGTCACTTTCCGCTGGTATGCGCGCTATGGCCAAATTTGGACGTAATTTGAAATGAAATCGACTCACAAAAGTGACGTACTGTTCCGTTTTCTGTTTCAGTCGTAATAACCGTTCAGACGTCCAAGAGAGGGGCTAACATCGTCGAGACGCAAACAAAAGAGCGAGGTTCGACGTCATCTAGACGTAACAGATTATCAAGATCAACTCACAAGGAACACAAAGAAAATGAATCATACTGATGAAGGGAACACTTAAGAATACTTTAGCTGCATTACAAAGAATTATTGGCCTTGGTGCTATATAGTTGTAATGGCTTGGCGCTTTCCCCTGATTATTGTTGTTGTTGCCTCAAAGCAATTAACAGTTTAGTTCATTTATTATGCACCCCATACCCATCTTGTGGGTGATAGTGGAAAGGGTTACAGAGGCACATAATGGGCTCAGGGACTGAACCCCACAATTCATTTAGCTAAGCAAGTTACAATCTTGATGAGCTAGTTACAAAATTCAGTTTAAGTCGTCACATCAACAATGGCAATTAACATGAAAGCAATTAACATGAATGTAAGACGAAAGTTTGTCGGCGGACAAGACTTAACCAAATAAAGCCTTCTATCCAATTCTCCGGCGAACAAGCTGCTTCAATTTGCATACAGCTTATATTGAATCAACTTTCTTAACTTGTTTATAACATAAACAAACACCTTTACATGTAGCTAAAGAAATAGTTGTTGTTAAAGCGTAGTTTGAGGTGAGTGAAGCAGTGAATAAATTGCTTATATGTAATTGGTCTGTTTTTATATTAATTATTCTTAAATTGTTATTCCAAAGCGGTCTATATAATTTATGATTTAATTTCACTGATAAACTTCCCTTCACACTTTTTTGTTTGTTTGGGGGAGGGGGTTATAATTATATTTAATATGATTGTATTTAAAGTGAAGATCTCAGTTCTAATTGGTTAATCTACGGTACTGAATACTAGTAAGAATTAAAACAGTCTCAGATGTTTCTGTAGTGTGTAAGTTGATCAGCCAGGACCAGACTCGGTCACACTCTGTCCTGAACCCTTATTAATGGCGTCCTGGGATGGCCTGTGGTGACCTGTGGTGACCTGGGGCGGTACAGGTCACATTCATGTCTCCCGTCATCACACTTTACCTGCCCAAATGTTACAGAGTAACAAATGCCAACAACAGATATAATTCAATTGTAATACATGAGTAAAGAGAGTAAATAGATTCTTACCCTTGCGAGTGGGTTTGTCATACATAGTAACGATTAATATTGAACACAGAAATAATTGGCCAGTAAATGTACTAATTTAGGAGGGTTAGAAATAGCCTAAACTACTCTATCCCTTTGAGATGTATTTCTCTCTTGTCTCAGTAAATATACTTGAACTTGTACTAATAGAACACCCGAACTCGGCAGTTTTCTCAGTTCTGTCGAGTCGCGGCAACAATTAGTGACAACTTGTCAGTCACGCTGCGATCTTGGACTTGCTGGTAGAATTAGTGATCGATGTGAAAGGCTCAGTTTGTTGGCACAAATATCACTCGATGTTGATTCACTCTAATGCAATGGCGTCTCCTCCTCCCCCCCCCCCCCCCTCTGCCGTCACCTCCAGGTGATATCAAGATATCTTAATATCAAGAAGCGGAAGGAGGATTTCGCTTAATTTCATATTGCAATTTGATGTGCAGTTTACTTAGAGGATTAGTTTGTTATATTCCCAGTCCAAAGACTGGTGATTTATAATATTAAATTATCTAGACTCATTTTGAGAAGGAGATGTAGACGACTCTGGGAATATTAAACCCCGTTTTCTGCAGCAAAGTCGGTATCTCTTTTTATGACTAACATTCAATTTATTCTTCAGCTAATGCAAGACAACAGCATTTCATTCTCTGCTTGTTGTATTAGAAGTTATGATTGATGTTGACTAGACCACACACTAGAAAGTGAAGGGACGACGACGTTTCGGTCCGTCCTGGACCATTCTCAAGACAATCGACTTGAAAATAATCCAGGACGGATCGAAACGTCGTCGTCCCTTCACCTTCTAGTGTGTGGTCTGGTCAACATACTTTAGCCACGTTATTGTGACTCATCGCCTGCATATGATTGATGTGGGAATTTGCCACAAGGGGCGACGACGATCTAGTGATCGGATGCGCCCCTTCTGCTCTATCTTGAGGTTATCTTGAGGTTATCTTGAGATGATTTCGGGGCTTTAGTGTCCCCGCGGCCCGGTCCTCGACCAGGCCTCCACCCCCAGGAAGCAGCCCGTGACAGCTGACTTAACTCCCAGGTACCTATTTACTGCTAGGTAACAGGGGCATTCAGGGTGAAAGAAACTTTGCCCATTTGTTTCTGCCTCGTGCGGGAATCGAACCCGCGCCACAGAATTACGAGTCCTGCGCGCTATCCACCAGGCTACGAGGCCCCTGTTATATATACCGGGAAATAACAAAGAAACGAATAATATCCGTCTAAATACTTTGTTTACACCCAATCAACATCCCTCACCGTGTTTACACCTCCTAAACAAGGAGTTTGCAATGATTTTTGTCCATCCAATATTGTTCACATCCACGTAACAAAATTAAAAGAACTCATCCTTCACGTTGCTAGTGACAATCTCTCCTCCTCCTCCTCTCACTCGCAGATCAAGAAGGCCTTCCACAAGTCAGAATCGAAGAAGGAGTTCAGTGTCGTGACTAACCTGTCAACCATGGCTGTGTGCGCCACCACGCCGCTCCTGCCCACGGCTGTCACCTCCCAGGAGCTCAAGCCCCACCAGGTGGTCGTTCCCCATGTTCAGGTGAGTCGCAGGTGGTCTAGGCTGGCCACAGGTGGGGGGGGGTCCAGGGTACTCACAGGTGAGTCTAGGTGACGGTCTCAAGTTGAGGGTCACGAGTGAATCAAGGTCTGAGAGGGTGAGTTCGAAATAATCTAGGAGGATGTTGGGTCATGTAGCCTAGGTGATCTAGAGGTTCCTAGCGAGGCTTGGTCTAGGTGAGCCGTGGGTTGTCCAAGTGATGCGTGCTCTAGATACCTCCTAGATTTCCTCATTTAATGAGGAAGTCACAATTGCTATAGATTCGTTTCTACCTATCTTGAGGTTATCTTGAGATGATTTCGGGGCTTTAGTGTCCCCGCGGCCCGGTCCTCGACCAGGCCTCCACCCCCAGGAAGCAGCCCGTGACAGCTGACTAACACCCAGGTACCTATTTTACTGCTAGGTAACAGGGGCATAGGGTGAAAGGTATACTGGTAGGTATACTACTGGTATAAACTCTAGATGAATTAGAAATGTTCTAGGTGATTGAGGTGGGAAGACAAAAACGGTGTAGGTGAGTGTCAATTGATCAAGTCATGTCACAGGATGTGCAGACGAGCCATGTTTTCTAGATTGGCCAATCTAAGTCACTCAGGCTTCTTTATCTGAAGAAGCCTTTATCTATCTTATCTATCTTCTTAATCACTGTTCCTAGAATCATTAGGCTCCGTTGTCAAGGTTTTGGTGTTAGTTAACTTAGAGATATTGTTCCGATAGATTGTTATAGTAGTTAGGTGCAGCTAATCCAGGGGATTAACTAATCCCTTTAGCTATTCCAGGGGATTAATTACTCCTATCGTTTTCAGGAGAGTCAAGTTCAGTCTAGAGTGTCCTGAACACTGCTAGAAGAACCGACTAGTTCCTGACACTGGACTAGTTCCTGACACTGGACTAGTTCCTGACACTAGTTCCTGACACTGGACTAGTTCCTGACACTAGTTTCTGACACTGGACTAGTTCCTGACACTAGTTCCTGACACTGGACTAGTTCCTGACACTGGACTAGTTCCTGACACTGGACTAGTTCCTGACACTAGACTAGTTCCTGACACTAGACTAGTTCCTGACACTAGACTAGTTCCTGACACTGGACTAGTTCCTGACACTGGACTAGTTCATGACACTGGACTAGTTCCTGACACTGGACTAGTTCCTGACACTTGACTAGTTCCTGACACTGGACTAGTTCCTGACACTAGTTCCTGACACTGGACTAGTTCCTGACACTGGACTAGTTCCTGACACTAGTTCCTGACACTGGACTAGTTCCTGACACTGGACTAGTTCCTGACACTAGTTCCTGACACTAGTTCCTGACACTGGACTAGTTCCTGACACTGGACTAGTTCCTGACACTGGACTAGTTCCTGACACTGGACTAGTTCCTGACACTGGACTAGTTCCTGACACTGGACTAGTTTCCTGACACTAGTTTCTGACACTAGTTCCTGACACTAGTTCCTGACACTTGACTAGTTTCCTGACACTAGTTTCTGACACTAGTTTCTGACGCTAGTTCCTGACACTTGACTAGTTTCCTGACACTAGTTCCTGACACTAGTTTCTGACACTAGTTTCTGACACTAGTTCCTGACACTAGTTCCTGACACTTGACTAGTTTCCTGACACTAGTTTCCTGACACTAGTTTCTGACACTAGTTCCTGACACTAGTTTCCTGACACTAGTTCCTGACACTAGTTCCTGACACTAGTTCCTGACACTTGACTAGTTTCCTGACACTAGTTTCTGACACTAGTTCCTGACACTTGACTAGTTTCCTGACACTAGTTTCTGACACTAGTTTCTGACACTAGTTTCTGACACTAGTTCCTGACACTTGACTAGTTTCCTGACACTAGTTTCTGACACTAGTTTCTGACACTAGTTCCTGACACTAGTTCCTGACACTAGTTCCTGACACTAGTTCCTGACACTAGTTCCTGACACTAGTTCCTGACACTAGTTCCTGACACTAGTTCCTGACACTAGTTCCTGACACTAGGTTCTGACACTAGTTCCTGACACTAGTTTCTGACACTAGTTCCTGACACTAGTTCCTGGCACTAGTTCCTGGCACTAGTTCCTGACACTAGTTCCTGACACTAGTTCCTGACACTAGTTCCTGACACTAGTTCCTGACACTAGTTTCTGACACTAGTTCCTGACACTAGTTCCTGGCACTAGTTCCTGACACTAGTTCCTGACACTAGTTCCTGACACTTGGGTAGTGTGTGGTACTAGCTCGTCCGTAGCAATGGCTTGGTCATGACACATTGGTATGAGGTACCAGGTAACCCACAACCCTTGCTGCCCCATTGATGACTTTTTACAATGATCATTGATGACTTTTTACAATGATCATTGATGACTTTTTACAATAATATCAGTTGTATGACGTCACCTGGTATAGCATCACCTGTTATGACGTCACTTGTGACGTCACTGTTCAATTCTTTCTTTAGCTATTATAATACAAACCAGGGGCCAGATTCACGAAGCAGTTACGCAAGCACTTACGAACCTGTACATCTTTTTTTCACTTTTTGGCGGCTTTGTTTACAATTATTAAACAGTTAATGAGCTCGGAAGCACCAGCAGGCTGTTTATAACAATAACAACAGTTGATTGGCAAGTGTTCATGCTTGTAATTTGTTTAATAAATATAACCAAAGCCGTCAAAGATTGAGCAAAGATGTACACATTCGTAAATACTTGCGTAAGGGCTTCGTGAATCTGCCCCTCCCCCCCTCTGATCTTAACATCTTGTAGAGCATAAAAAAAAATAATAGTGCTTCCAACCTTAAAGCAACAGATATATATTTCACTATTGCTTAACCTACTTAATCAACTTCTGTACAAATAACAAAATATTTAATCTGGTGGGCCATTTGGACCGCGCGGCGCAGGTCACCGAGGAGACCAGAACGGGGCCCTTGGCAGGGATAGTAAGTTGCCTCCGGGGGGCGTGTCGGCGACTGGGGGCCCTCACACCTAGGACACAGGCGAGTTGGTCCACCTCCCTGAGAGGGAGACGACCCATCCCTCCGATGCTACCCCCCAGCAGGTGGCAGGGTTCGAGCCTGGCTCGGCTGTGTCTTAGACCGGAGTGTCTTAGAGGCTTTTGCTAGTGCTGAAATGCGTTGCGGTTATGGATGGCATTTGCACGGAGGAGACTTGCATTCATTAGAGTATAAATTATGATTTATTTCACAGTGACATCTCAGGCTATTTGCTTTAGAAGCCTGGCTAACTGTGAGGTCCAACACTGCTTCAGCACTGCAAATGCTTCGAGCAAGGGGGGATAATAAAGGGTTTCTAGCACGCTACAGTTGTGCCGAGTGATGAGGCTGAGCACAAAGTAATCACAGTAGCGTGATACCTCAACGAGAATATCATTTAGAGCAATACAGGGATTTGAACCTTCATTCTACAGACGCCCAAACCAGTTGGGCCTCCAAGACTTCCAAAGCGGACTCGATACCATTCTGGGTTGAATAGCTTTTGTCCTATCATGGCCGAGTGGGTTAAGGCTAGCGCCTAGGAGTCACTAGAAAGCTGGTTCAAATCCCCACATTGCTTCAAATGATTTGTGCACGAGGCTGAAGCTTCAACCCATCCCCCGGTAACACATGTGGGCTACTCAAGTTGGCAAGAGCCCATCTTCTGTGAATATGCTCGAAACTATGATTCGAGACGTGTTTCACTTCATTTCCGTCTCGCAGCATAAATACTGAAGCCCATCCTCAACACACAGTTACAGCCCCGCTCCTATGCCTGGTAAGTCCACTACGGGGCTCACCATAGCCCGTGCTACTTGCAACTTTTTGTTCCCAGTAGCTGAATCTAAAACAACCACTTCAACTTATCAACCACAGCCTCGTCGAAGGAACGACCGTCCTAATAGCGTATTTGTAATTTATTTCAAACTGTATAATGCAAATACTATTATAAACTAATATATATATTATATATATTATATATATATTGTGATTTGTGTATAGTAGGGCCTATGTAATGCTGGTGTATTGATTCAGTTGGCGGTTATAATACTGACACGATATTGGGTCAGTGCCTAGAGAGTGGTTTTGAACACAAGAGAAGCGTTGTCTTGAATCCTCAGAGAAGTGATGATAATTTATAGGCAGGGGAAAGCGTCGGGTGGATTACCAGCATGAGGCCAGTGTTTTGGGGAGAGACAGGAAAACATTAACCAAATATTGTGTTTTAATCCAAACACGAGACTCGACTTATCACGCTTCGACTTTTTCTACAGCAATGCTTTGATCAATTGGTATATTCAAAGCGCACCTCGTTATTTGTTCCACTAATGCACTGCAAAAGTTTGCAATCAGAATCAAAACAGCAAATCTAACACAAACGCTAAATGCTCGAAAACAATAACGTATAAGAGCCCTAGAGGACGTACCCGGCGGTGCACGGGTGTCGGAGGCCCCATCTTTAATTGATACTATCTTCATCATTGTAGCCTTCTTCACGACACCTGACCTTCATCACCATAACATCTTCACTACACATTGTCTTCATCAATAAATTGCCTAAGACAGCCTAACATTTCATCAATTTGGTACAAACATGAATGTTGGTGACGATGGAGTCGGGTATTTATGAAAATTGGAAACCTGATATAATTTTCTGCAAAGTTGGAGCACCAGAGTTTACTTATGCCCGCCTATGGCCATCCATGACCCACCACCAGTCATCCTGTAATGTTTGGCGAGGCTAGCCACAAGCGTCTTGCTTTCAATCTAGCACAGACTTTCTCATATATATATATATATATATATATATATATATATATATATATATATATATATATATATATATATATATATATATTATATATATATATATATATATATATATATATTTGAGAAAAGATTGCTGTGTACGAGTCGTCGGTGGAGGATGAGATGAAAGTTGGCGGGAGGCAGGTTGACAGACTTCTCTGAGACCGAAGACTTCTCCGTCAGTATCCGATGCCCTCGAGCATGGGAATTACTTACATCGCACTTTCACTGGCCTACTCCTCTCTCACTATCCAAGTTGTCTCATTATCTCCCATTGGTTGACCTCTCACAACACCCAGCTGTCTCGCATGTCTCACCAGCTGACCCTCTCTCTCTCATCCCCAAAAGTCTCGTATCTTACTGGGCTGACCTCTCACAACACCTCAGAAGTCTCCTTTTCGGTTCCTTAAGCTAGACAATATTTCTGAAAGATCTCGAGCAGAATTCTTACATTAGTTCAGTAGGCTAGCAAGACCGCCTGGCAACTGAAATTTAGATGACAAATGTTGCATTGTGTATCTAGATGGCTGCTTCTGTGGCAGGTTTCATGACTCCACTGAAAGTCTACTGGGAGTAAAAATAAAATAAAAAGTCGTTTGGGTCATTCTGTTTTCCTTGGAAAGTCGGTCAACTGGGTGTAGCGGCCGAGGTAGTGAAAGCACCGCGTCACCCCAGCACAAGGGGCCTCACATGCTCCCTGAACCTCATCACATGCTCCCTGCACCCCGTCACGTGCTCCTTGCACCCGATCACATGCTCCTTGCACCCGATCACATGCTCCTTGCCCCCGATCACATGCTCCGTGCACCCCATCCACATAGCGCACAAGCAAAGTTTGGCCCTACCGAAACCTCATCTCTCTCACAGGCATCACCACAGACTAGAATTCTTCCTCGTTATGTTATATACTGCCTGTCTGCTGGTCACGGGGGAGGGAGGGGGAGGAATATATGCACCCACAATGCACACAATTTTTTTTATTTACTATTAGGTGAATAATTTGAATCAAATAAATCTAATGCATATTTTCCTTGGCGGGGAGATTGTAGACTCTTCGAAGCAGATTAATGTTCCAGGCAAAGAGGGGAAACAAAGAGAAAATCCACAGCAGCCGTGATGAGGATTCGAACCTATGCGCTGGATGTTCCCAGATGCACGCTCTAAACCACTACGCCATGACAGGGTCAAAGGAATTGTAACCTGGGCGTACTATTGCACCCTCGAGGATTCCGGAGGCTTCCAGTGAAGTCGAACCAGGGTTTCCCACAATTCCCACTCCCCATGTATTCTAACTCTGTCATCCAGTAATTCTACCTCTGACGCCACGCTCTCAACACAGAGGAAACCCTGGTTCGGCTCCAGTGGAAGCCTCGGGAATCCTCGAAGGTACAGTAATAACCCAGATTACAATTCCTTTGACCCTGTCATGGCGTAGTGGTTTAGAGCGTGCATCTGAGAATACCCAGCGCATAGGTTCGAATCCTCATCACGGCTGCTGTGGATTTTCTTAATGATACCTCACGATAATGTGATTTCTCTGAGTCAAGAAAACAAAGTTTGTCGACATTCTTGTTATATTTTAGTGAGTAAAAATGATTCTAATATCTATCTATTCAGATGATTTGGCAGAAATAAATTTAAATGATATACAATTATATATTTCTTAATTTGCTAAAGCTCAACACTTCAGGTGTTTAAAGTTAGAATTAGCTAAAATGTTCTGTCCCCAATGTTGGGTGACAGTTGGGTGTTGGGTGACAGGCACCCAACACTGTCCCCAGTGTTGGGTGACAGTCACCCAACACTGTCTCTAATGTTGGGTGACAGTCACCCAACACTGTCCCCAGTGTTGGGTGACAGTCACCCAACACTGTCTCTAATGTTGGGTGACTGTCACCCAACACTGTCTCCAATGTTGGGTGACAGTTGAGTGTTGGGTGACAGTCACCCAACACTGTCCCCAATGTTGGGTGACAGTCACCCAACACTGTCTCTAATGTTGGGTGACAGTTGACTGTTGGGTGACAGTCACCCAACACTGTCCCCAATGTTAGGTGACAGTCACCCAACACTGTCCCCAGTGTTGGGTGACAGACGGGACACCTACACTGCCTTCAGTGTCATATATACCAGACACACAGAGCAAAGAACAAAACTTATTAAATATCATTACTTATATATTATTCTAACTTAATTCGTATGGCTTTGACGTCACTGCATGATAGACCCCCCCCCCTTCCCCCCCCCCCGCGCGCCTGCTCTTCAAATATCACTCGTAACATCAAAATATTTATCCCACAATGTCAAAATGTGTGAAGTTGATTATATTAATTTTCCTTTATATCTCTGCCTGTCTTAAGTGGGTTGTGCCTCGCCTCAGGTGACGGAAGTGAAGGTGCCGGACTGTTACGAGGACCCCGAAGACGCCCTGGCCCGCCTGCCCCCGTCTCCGCCTCCTCCACTCCTTCCTCAGGAGGAGGCTGCGGCCACCTCCTCCTCCAAGTCACCTAAGAAACAGTCTCCAAAGTCCTCCTCGTCTGCCTCCACGCCGGGAAGTCCCCCTTCTTCACCGCCCGCCTCCTCCTCCTCCTCGCCACCTCCGGCTGTGGCAGCGTCTACCAAACCTTCATCACCGCCGTCGTCACCGCCTACATCACCTACATCCAAAACAGCGCCCTCATCACCCTCAACATCATCTGCGCCCTCAGACGCGCCCCAAGCCGCGTCCCCGACTAAAACACCTTCCAGCAGCAGCAGCAGCAGCAGGAAGAAAAAATAAAGAGAGCCTGCGGAAGCAGTCTTCTAGCACTAAAGAGAGAGAGAGAGAGAGAGGGTCGGGGGCAATGGGGCGACTAATTGCAAGTGTAATAATGAGGGAAGGAGCCCCTCGTGTGCTCTTGTTAAAGTGCATTTATACACCCCACGTGTCTCCCCTTAGGTCCGAGACGTCTACCCTGTGTGTGTGTGTGTGTGTGTGTGTGTGTGTGAGTTAAGACAGATCCTATAGTTTACCAGTCACTCTTCTCTCATTTATGAGAGATGTATTTAACTCATGAGACCTAAGATTCTTATATTACTTATTAAGAAAAAGTATATATATATATATATATATATATATATATATATATATATATATATATATATATATATATATATATATATATATATATATATATAAAATTTTGAACCTATATAATGTCTTTCTCAACTGTCTATTGTGCCATCATTCAGTACTATTTATACCTGAAAACCCCCCATATGTATATAATTATTAACTAACAAGTAGTTACCCAGTTAGCTATCATATACCAGTGGTTTCCAGAGTACAGAGTTACAGTGGGTGAACTGTATCCCAACACCGCCTTGTTTTGTATCGTGTCTTGAGTGGCTGCTATTGAGTTACTGTACCCGGTTAAGTGTCTTCATTACACGGACAGCTCATTAACTAATTACTACTTGATATGGTCGCCAGCTAACACCTTCAGCTAATTGTGAATTATCCAGCATGTCGAGGTTGAACAGTCAGGGCCAAGGTTGGACAGTCAGGGCCAAGGTTGGACAGTCTGGGCCAAGGTTGAACAGTCAGGGCCAAGGTTGAACAGTCAGGGCCAAGGTTGGAGAGTCTGGGCCAAGGTTGAACAGTCAGGGCCAAGGTTGAACAGTCAGGGCCAAGGTTGGACAGTCAGGGCCAAGGTTGAACAGTCTGGGCCAAGGTTGAACAGTCAGGGCCAAGGTTGAACAGTCAGGGCCAAGGTTGGACAGTCAGGGCCAAGGTTGGACAGTCAGGGCCAAGGTTGGACAGTCTGGGCCAAGGTTGGACAGTCTGGGCCAAGGTTGGACAGTCTGGGCCAAGGTTGGACAGTCTGGGCCAAGGTTGAACAGTCAGGGCCAAGGTTGAACAGTCAGGGCCAAGGTTGAACAGTCAGGGCCAAGGTTGAACAGTCAGGGCCAAGGTTGAACAGTCAGGGCCAAGGTTGAACAGTCAGGGCCAAGGTTGAACAGTCAGGGCCAAGGTTGAACAGTCTGGGCCAAGGTTGAACAGTCAGGGCCAAGGTTGAACAGTCAGGGCCAAGGTTGAACAGTCAGGGCCAAGGTTGAACAGTCAGGGCCAAGGTTGAACAGTCAGGGCCAAGGTTGAACAGTCAGGGCCAAGGTTGAACAGTCTGGGCCAAGGTTGAACAGTCAGGGCCAAGGTTGGACAGTCAGGGCCAAGGTTGAACAGTCTGGGCCAAGGTTGAACAGTCAGGGCCAAGGTTGAACAGTCAGGGGCAAGGTTGAACAGTCAGGGCCAAGGTTGAACAGTCAGGGCCAAGGTTGAACAGTCAGGGCCAAGGTTGAACAGTCAGGGCCAAGGTTGAACAGTCAGGGCCAAGGTTGAACAGTCAGGGCCAAGGTTGAACAGTCAGGGCCAAGGTTGAACAGTCAGGGCCAAGGTTGAACAGTCAGGGCCAAGGTTGAACAGTCAGGGCCAAGGTTGAACAGTCAGGGCCAAGGTTGAACAGTCAGGGCCAAGGTTGAACAGTCAGGGCCAAGGTTGAACAGTCAGGGCCAAGGTTGAACAGTCAGGGCCAAGGTTGGACAGTCAGGGCCAAGGTTGGACAGTCAGGGCCAAGGTTGGACAGTCTGGGCCAAGGTTGGACAGTCTGGGCCAAGGTTGAACAGTCAGGGCCAAGGTTGAACAGTCAGGGCCAAGGTTGAACAGTCAGGGCCAAGGTTGAACAGTCAGGGCCAAGGTTGAACAGTCAGGGCCAAGGTTGAACAGTCAGGGCCAAGGTTGAACAGTCAGGGCCAAGGTTGAACAGTCAGGGCCAAGGTTGAACAGTCAGGGCCAAGGTTGAACAGTCAGGGCCAAGGTTGAACAGTCAGGGCCAAGGTTGAACAGTCAGGGCCAAGGTTGAACAGTCAGGGCCAAGGTTGAACAGTCAGGGCCAAGGTTGAACAGTCAGGGCCAAGGTTGAACAGTCAGGGCCAAGGTTGAACAGTCAGGGCCAAGGTTGAACAGTCTGGGCCATAGGTGATTGGCCAGCTGATTTGGTATTTCATCTTGTGTTCATAACCAATCACAATTCAAGATCCTCTATTATAAACCGCGAATTTAAAGGTCGTAACATTGCCAAATCGTTTCGACATTCTTATTGCAAATGCCCATTACGTTAGTGAACGTTTGTTAATAATAACAATAATGATAATAATAATGTTTCAGGTATTATACATTATAAGGTCCATTTGTTGGCCAGATAATAAGTAACTTCAACTTCGGTCGGTCGGCCGAGCGGACAGCACGCTGGACTTGTGATCCTGTGGTCCTGGGTTCGATCCCAGGCGCCGGCGAGAAACAATGGGCAGAGTTTCTTTCACCCTATGCCCCTGTTACCTAGCAGTAAATAGGTACCTGGGTGTTAGTCAGCTGTCACGGGCTGCTTCCTGGGGGTGGAGGCCTGGTCGAGGACCGGGCCGCGGGGACACTAAAAAGCCCCGAAATCATCTCAAGATAACCTCGAGAAGATAACCTCGGTCGCTTTTAAATTTGTTGACAAATCTTCGTGTCGACATTCATTTTTTTTTAGTAAGCACTTGGCGTCTGAGCTTCCAACACTTCAGTCCTATTGACCAATCAGCCTCGCTTCCTGCTGCCCATCAGAGCAAGAGTGTGCTCCTTGTGCTCTAAAATAATAATTTAACTTCAATGATCTGAGTGTGTGTGTGTCTCCATATCTGTACTCTGATTAATATCCGTATTTTAACATATCGGTCGAATTATTATCACAATTATTATCCATTTAAATTTTGCCCAGAGGGGCGAGTTTATTGGGCAGCGTCACTCATCCTGTGAGTGGACACACCGCCATAGTGACAGTATTGGGCAGCGCCACTCATCCTGTGAGTGGACACACCGCCATAGTGACAGTATTGGGCTGCGTCACTCATCCTGTGAGTGGACACACCGCCATAGCAGCATGTACAACACTCCCCAATAGGAAGAAAACCCGCTGGGTTGTTCATCCTGTCACTTGTACCCAGACACAGCTGGGACTTGCTTAACTGTCTCAAGTGAACAGCTCCTCAAACAAGATTAACCTCTGTCAACCCCTAAAAGCTTACGTTATTATTATCAATGGCATTCTTATTTTGTCAACGAATAAGAAATGAGAGAAGTTGTGCTAGACAATATTGATCATTTAGCATTGAAGAATTGAAAGATCTGTTCAATTTACATTTATTATATGGAATCCTCCGCAATAGACTTGTGTTACGTAATACCGTGAGAGGCAGTCTTGTACTCACTCAACCACGCGAGTCGCTCAAAGATTTTCTTCGTAAGAAAGTTAAATGGCCTTTACATTCTTCTCAGCAAATAGTAGTATAGTTGTAGTGTAGTGTTCATTTTCAGCGTCGATACTGTGATATGTGTGGCCACCCTTTATGTAGTGGCCACAATAGGGACAGGAAGCCTGTGGCTTGTCAAAGGTTCCCCCATTATTGCCGAAATGTGTTTCCCCTTTATTTCAGGAGTCTTACTGCCTAGTCCTGAACCTATTCTAGTTCCATTATGTGCCTCTTCTGATGGAGAGACATACTAGAGCTGCATACTCAAGGCTTGGTCTCACGAAGCTTGTGAACCAGCATTCTGAACATATTCTATTAATGTGTCTGAAGTTTACCTCCAAGATCTTTCTCTTCTGATTCGGGAATTTGCCTTCTATTTATCCCTCGTTGCTTCTTAAGACATCTCTTATAAGAGATGTCTAGTATAATAATAAGAAAGTTACTTTCTGTTGTTCTATAATATATTATAGAACAACAGAAAGTAACTTTCTGTTGTTCTCGTAGATTTGGTTGTTACAGCCCGTCGAGGTCACTGTATCAGGCTTCCCAGAATCATAATGCAAGAATTACATAGGACAATAGAATTCAATTCTATGATTTGTAATTCTATGACCTAGAAATAGGTCATAGAATTACAACAAACAAAATTGAGCTTGACATTAGTTATTTTAAGTTTACATGTTCATCTGATAGTGGTTGCTAGGGACACAACACATCTTATAGTGGTTGCTAGGGACACAACACTACTATCCAAATACTATATTGCCAATATGGCTTAGCGCTTTCTCCTGACAATTGCCTTGCCTGCTACTCTTGTGTTATCGTCCAGGTTATATATTAACCCTCCAAACACACACCGAAACTACGACGTTGGTACAACGTTCGAACAAGTTTTAACACCTAACCAGTTATAACAACCAATATAGCAAGTTGTAACAACGTTCCAATACGTCATAAACACATTAAGCCAAGATGTAACAACTTTATTACAAGTTGTTACAAGCAGAAAATAGAGACAGTTTCGGTTTGTGTTTCCAGGGAAGAGCCTCATTGAGAAACAGCCAGATCTTTTTATTGATAAATCTTTATCTGTTGTGATAAATCTCATTATTCTTGTATCTGATTATTTACTCTGTCAGATTAATTATTGATATATATTAAGAAGAGGAGTAAGGAGGTCTTTTTAACACAGCCACTCTCCTGGTCAACGAAGGTGTTCAGCAGCTGGACACCCTCATAAAGACTGTGAAGCAGTATCCTCCCCCGCGATAACAGCTTGATGGTTAAAATGCAAACTCAGAATACTGAGAAAAAAAATTGTACCACTTACGGGCTATTCATGCCCGTGCCACCTCTTGGGTGGCTTAATCTTCATCAATGAATCAGGGAGGTCTTAGCAACTCATGCAGCGCTCACATTGTTGCCACTCTTCCATTTAACACATCGCTCCTTTTCCATTTTACCCTCTTCTCTCTCTTTTTCCCACGAGGTCTCCTGCACTGTTCAGTGCTTCCAAGAGGTCTTCTCCTGCACTGTTCAGTGCTTCCAAGAGGTCTTCTCCTGCACTGTTCAGTGCTTCCAAGAGGTCTTCTCCTGCACTGTTCAGTGCTTCCAAGAGGTCTTCTCCTGCACTGTTCAGTGCTTCCAAGAGGTCTTCTCCTGCACTGTTCAGTGCTTCCAAGAGGTCTTCTCCTGCACTGTTCAGTGCTTCCAAGAGGTCTTCTCCTGCACTGTTCAGTGCTTCCAAGAGGTCTTCTCCTGCACTG